AAAAGTGAGAAAACTTGACACAAGCCGAGCAGCAGGGCTCTTTTAATTTACGTGCTTTCCCTTCCAAGTACTTCCCGGAACTGTCTACAGCACTCATATATTCGATGATGGAGAGGCCTCATCTCTTTGAAACGTGATGCTGAAGTTTCAACAATCTGATTAAAATTATTGAATACAACAGCATTGAAATGGCAATTATGGAAATCATCACTACGAAAAATAATATACAAAGTTTTCCCCACCCAACAAGATGAATGATTTTCATAGATCAGTGCTCACTTGCTAGCCTTTACGATACACAGAGACGATGCTGACACTTGCTAACTGAAGTGTAAATATAATATTGTATTCTTCTGTTTATTTAAAGATTTTTAAATGTTTATTTATTTTGAGAGGGAGGGAGAGAGAGATAGAGAGCAGAGGAGGGGCAGAGAGAGAGGGGAGGACACAGAATCTGAAGAAGCTCCAGGCTCCAAGCTGCCAGCACAAAGCCCAACATGGGACTCGACCCCACGAACCGCGAGATCATGACCTGAGCCGAAGTCGGACACTTAACTGACTGAGCCCCCCAGGTGCCCCTCTTCTGTGTTTATTTAAAGTAATATCACACATATTTCCATATTACTATAGTCTTCATAACTATTCTTTTCAGGGCTACATATTTCATCTACTTTTATGTAATTATTTCTCTAGCTTCAAATATTTTCATTTTTTTTTTCACTTTTTAGATTACTGTCTTATGAAACCTTCCCTGGAATGAGCCGAATGCATACATAGTTTTACTAATCATGAATGTACTGCCATGCTGCTTTCCAAACACCCAGAAGAACTTAAATGATTCAAAGAATGGCTGTCTCCCTCTTATCACTGGTATTTCCAACAAAAAGCACGGGCTGTGTTAAGTATGGTCACAGGTCAGTACCGTGGATCACTGCGAACTGGCACATGAGGACGACAGCAGGGCAGGTGGAGCCTGGGGAAAAGCTCAGTCTAGGACCAACTTCGCTTCCTCATCCACGAAAAGGAGGGTTTGAGGGACATAATCTCCAAAGATTATTCTGGTTGTAAATACCCAGTTATCAAGCAAAAGCTAAGCACCGTCTGCAAATTTTTACTCTATTGAAGAGATGGTGCTGAGTTTCCTCAAGAATTACGGCCCCCAAGAAATCTAGTCAGTTAGGCTAAGCAAAGTGCATTAAGTCTATTTCAAATGCACTTCTACTGGAAAGAAAGAGATTGGGATTAGAAATAGAGATGAGTACACAGATGGTTAGATAGAGAGAGAGATGGATGGATGGATAGATATATGGATAGATAAGTAGACGGATAGATGGATAGACAGATAGAAAGACGGATAGATAGACAGACAGAGAGATAGATGAATAGATGGATAGATATATAGATAGATAGATTTAGACAGGTGGATAGATGGATAGAGGGATAGAGGGACAGGTAGGTAGGTAGGTAGGTAGACAGACAGAAAGATAGATAGATACATACAGAGAGAGAGAGAGAGAGAGATGGATAGATAAATAGGCAGATGGCCACATGGACAGACAGATGGGTAGATGGATAGACTGATAGAAGGATATCAAAGGAAGGGAAGGAAGGAAAAAAGAAGTCAGTGTTCTCCTCAGCAGAGAAAAGAGTCGTAAGATTTCTCAGGAACCAGGCAGCCATTGTCCAAATATCTCAAGACCCAGTTTGGGCCATGAGACATGTTTATAGTGTTTCATTTTTCAGGGAAAAAATGGAATTCATAACATAACAAAGACTGTTTCATAATTTGTTGCTTTGCTGACAAGAGAGTCTTCTAGGAGCATAAAGATAAAATGCATCATATGGCATTTAAATTATTTTTAAAATAAGAGTAAAATATAATGTCTTAGAATTCCTGGGATATCAAAGATGAATTCAAGTGAATGTCAGTTTAGGTTTGATTTATTATTTTTGAAAATCGGAGAGCGTGCCCCTGCTATAACCATTGGGTACACTCAAGCACTCTGCCCGGGAAGCAGCCCGGCCCTACTGCCTACAGAGAGAAGTTCAAAATCAAGTGGTGCCAATTCTGCCCTCTGCCACCCTGACTCGGTCATGCCCTTACCCTGCCTGAGCCCTGAGCCCTGAATCCTGAGCTGCCCGGGCTCTCTGCTCCAGCCTAACACTCTGGAACCACATGGGGCTCATGCCCATGTTCACCACGTGACACATACCCTCCCGTTCAGTCCTTAATGCCCCATGGAGGCGCACAGAGCTTACACCACTGGCCCAAGGTCCTACTGCTACTGAACAAAGTCTAGTTCCTGCGGCTACGGCCGAGTGCAGGACACCCAGCCACAATCATCAACTATCTTAAAAGCTTTGTTGCCGGTCGGGCACAGGGTTACATCCCCTTCCAGGGATCTGTCCCGGGAAAAGTCGGTCACGGGAAGTGAAGGACCAGGAGGGAGCTGAGGGCAGACAGGCCTGGACACCCTGACGTGACCTCATGTGTGAAGGTTTGTTAGGAGGGAGGAACGGAGTGAGGTCAGAGGTCAAGGTTGTAGGCAATATTTTAAAATTCTGCTGTTCTCTGCATTCACAGCCTCATTTCCATTTCTCCACCAGTTTCAAACCTTTTGCAGACCAACCCCCAAATTACAGTCGGTTTTACCATTTAGACAATCTCAGAGTGTCTGGGGTGCAAAGAAGAGAGCACCTGCTAAGCCATCAGAACACCCGAAAGCCTCCATCTGTGCTCTCTTCCTTGGGGTGCAGGCGGCCCCGCAAACTCGCCCCTCACAACATCACACTCCACTCTCTCAATACGGGCTCAGGAAGACACAGAGGGGAAAGACGGTCCACGGCACATCTCACAGAAGACCGTGTTCTAGGCTGCCGGAGGAAACTCAGCTTGAACTTGGAGAAGGAGAGACCATTACGGATGAAGTTTAAATGGCTCAGTGGAACTGAAACATGGGGCTTCCACCGCCTCGACGATGATGCGGGCCCCCAACTGACCTCCCCTCCTTCTCCTTCCTTCTAGGTTTGTTTACAGGAGCGTTTAAATGCAGCGTCGAGACAAGAATAAACTGGACACCATCACAATTAATATCAATCAGGCGGTACACATTTGGTGCTCCATAAATGTTTGCAAGATGAGTGGAAAAAAAAAAAAAGGAGAAAAAGACAGCACTGGATGGAATAAGCCCGTCAGATTTTGAGAGGAGCTCTTCCCTAAGAAGAAACCTAAGGTGGTTTCTAAAGTCGGCTTATTCTTTGGCTAAAACAACCTCAGTTAACACACATGGTCTGTCACAAGCTATTGATTTGAGGAAGAGAAGTCGGTTCCTCGCTTGTATTTTGTTACGAAGAGTCGCTGTCCATACAGCGCCCTGCTCTCACTGACCTGACATCCTCACAGAGGTAAGGCTAACATGCTGGCATTAAAACGCACTTAACCCTCAGCAATGGTCAGATCGTGTTCTCCACTCCATTCATATCATGAAGCATTTCTGCAATTTCACTATTTTGAAGTGGGTTGAATGAGATTTTCTTAGGGGAGTAATTCTACCGAAGATGATTTTTGAATGCAAAAACACGCACATTCATTCTTTCTGGGTCTTACTTTGCCACATACTATTTAATTCAATCAAGTATCATTTGGGGAATGACACCAAAATGCCAGCTCACTATAGGTCTCCCTCCGACTGCAAACAGTCTAGGTAAAGGGCAGGATCCATTTAATATTAAATCTCAATAAAAAGGTTTCTTAAAGAAAAAGGTATGTTTCCACCAAAAATAAACGAAATAAAAATATTTAGGAAGTTAGATGTTCCTGAGGAAGTTAGGAGGTAGAATAGCGTTTCCACAAACTGGGGGATGGGGTGGCTCAGAGATGCAGTCTCGGGAGAGGGCAGGGGCCCCGAGAAACTCACCCACCAGCTCTGGGCTCAGGATCCTTATCTGGAAAATCAGGCTGCTGACTAATTTTTTCTGTGGTTTCCTCTAATGCCTGGATTTGAGGATCCAGGCCTCCTGTGTCCCTGATTCGCACCAGAGGTGTGCAATGATTGTTCTGATTCAGAATCTCTGTGTACTGAACAAGACACTGACGGATTCCTTAAAACTGGGAGTTTACTCTGTCATAACAACCATAAACATAATGCAAAAGGAAATAAGTTAATTCTCTTCAAACTGACTTTTGGCACCTAACTCCAGGCAATGTTTTTAATAAATATTTTTAGGGGCACCTGGGTGGCTCAGTTGGTCAAGTGTCCGACTTCAGCTCAGGTCATGATCAAGGGGTTCATGAATTCGAGCCCCGCGTCGGGCTCTGTGCTGACAGCTCAGAGCCTGGAGCCTGTTTGGATTCTGTGTCTCCCTTTCTTTCTGCCCCTTCCCCGCCCGTACTCTATCTCTCTCTGTCTCAAAAAGAAATAAACATTAAAAAATTTACATAAATATCTTCAACTGCACATGAACTCCAAATTTCAATGGTACTTAAGTCTCTGGGAAAACGGGTTTTCCCAGATTATAAAGCACTGGCATTCATATCGACTCAGCACTTAATTGAAAGCCTAAACATCACTTCATATCCTTAGACTAAGCACAGTCAGTGCCTAAATTAATATTCCCTGTGCATGTGGAGATGAGTTGTTTTTTTTTTTTTAAAGCGAGAGTGAGCAAGTCCTCCTGAAGTACTCTCTGTGCACTATTGCAATTGTTCTGCAAATGTCTAAAGCCTTAGGACGTGATCTTCCAATTACATATGATATGCAATACTCGCTTCTAACACCTGCAGAGAAATGTCCCGCACACTGAAGGAAATGGCTTTCATCTTATTAAATTAGCGTGGTTTCAGTTTCACATTATCTTTAGCTGCTCAGGATATATAGTGTTACAAGTTTATTGCATCTGCTTGGCTCCTACTAAAAGTTGAAACCTCAAGTCATTTTCTGCTTTATTGACTTGCAGGAGGGAAAACTGAAATTATCCCAGTCATTAGAGAGAGTACTTACGATTTTTTTGCCTTCTATTAACACCGTAGAAGTATTTGTTTCAACATTCCGCAGTATCACACTTCCTTTCTGTTCTCTGTAGATGAATTCTTTATCTACAAGAGAGGAAACAAAAAGGAAACACAAAGCATTAAGGAACGCAGCAGGCTTCTGACGGATACTTACACAAAACGAATCAACTAGTCCCGACAAAAATAGAATCCTGTGATTCATCAAAGGGTCGTTTTAATCTGTTAGAGTATATACAGAGTATATAACATATGCACTCAACATAACCTAGTGAAGCTTCCCTCCAAATCTTTTCTCTGTGCTACATACTGACATCTAAAGCACTAGTACACATGCTCATAGTCTTTAGGACGTTCTAGAGCTTTCTTGAACAGGACACACAGAGTGGACATGCGGAGCAGATTAAGAAACTTGCTACCAAAAGGCACGGGCAATAATTGGCACTATGGGGAGTGATATCCTGCATCTGCAGCTTGGGTGGACTGTGTCTATGCACACGGGCTCACACCCACGTCCACATCCCGCAAGACTGTTTCCAGTTAGCCCACAACCTTCCTTGCTACTCCTGGAGGGGTCTGCAGTTTGTTGGTCAGGCGTACCCCTGAACCCTTCCTCAGAAACGGTGACAATGGTCCTTGGTATGGCCAACCTTTCAAATATTCCCTTAGGAGATTGCTAAAGCACACTGATCAGTGTGATTGCGGAAGTCTCTCCGTAGGCATGTACACACGTGTGTCCCTACTGTGAACACATTCCGGGCACATTTTCTGCAGGACCAGATTGCTGGCACGGAGCGAGGCGCACAGTGAGGGAGAAGAAATACCGTCTGAGCAAAGGTGGTGATACTGAGCCAGCCTGACGGCCAAGGCACTTCACACAGTCATCGGCTGCTGAATGGACCGCATGGTGCAGACTGGATTAACCCAAACGGTATCATCATTTCTACTCTTTATTCTATCATAAATTCACATTCTTTTCTTTTTTATTCCTTTTTGCTACTTGCTTTGGTTTTCATTCTCTCTTCTTTTTCCAGGTTGTTAAGGTGGAAGCTTACATCTCTGGTTTGATTTTCCATCCTTTAAAAAATTTTTTTTAATGTTTTATTTATTTTTGAGAGAGAAATAGAGAGGGCGTGGGCAGGGGAGGGTCAGAGAGAAAGGGAGACACAGAATCCGAAACAGGCTCCAGGCTCTGAGCTGTCAGCACAGAGCCCGACGCGGGGCTCGAACCCACAAACTGTGAGATCATGACCTGAGCCGAAGTTGGATGCTTAACCGACTGAGCCACCCAGGTGCCCCATGATTTTCCATCCTTTCCAATAAAACTTACTAAAGCTAAAAATTTCCCCCTATGGATAGTGTTAGCTATATCTCACAAATTTTGATATGCTGAGATACATTATTATTCAGCTGAAATTATTTCTAATTTTCCCTATAATATCTGCTTGGCCCAATGATTATTCACAAACCTGTTATTTAATTTGCAAGTATGTAAAGTTATTCTGGCCCTTTTATGTTTTATAGATTTTTAATATAAATTCACTGGATCAAAGAATACTCTGTACATGATTTCAGTCTTTTAAAACTCATTTAGACATTTTTGTGGTCCATAATATGGTCTATTCTGGTAAATGTCCCGTATGCATATTTAATGAAGTTATGGATATGGCTGCATTTGGTCTAACGTGTGTGTGCGTGTGTGTGTATATGTGTGAGGTGTGTGTGTGGATGTGGGTGGGTGTGCATGTGTGTGTAGGTGTGTGTGTACGTGAGTGTGTGGGGTGGGTGAGGTTTATTTCTACTTGTTTTCTCCACTTCTTACTTCCCTCTTATTTCTGGCTTTCATTTTATTGTTGGCTACTTTCCAGGACTCTAATTTCCCTATTTTAGCTGTATTTCTTCGCAATTATTTAGTGCTTCTCCTAGGGATTAGAATACTCAACTTTTCAGAGTCTACAATGAGTTAATAATGTACCAGCTCTCATGAAATACAGAAATTTGTCAGGTTTTCAGCCCACATCCAGCCCCATGCTGTTATAATTGTTATGTGTGTCTCATCAAGATATTTTACATATCCCACAAGATGCCATAATTACTGTTTGTAACAGTACCTCATTTATAAAGAGAATAAGAAGATAAAGTCAAAAAGAAAACAGACGTCTGTTGCATTTACCCATTATTTGCCATTTCTGATGCTTTTCAGATTTGATCAAGGACCCAAGTTTCCATGAGGCACCATGTTCCTGCCTCTTGACAGCTTCCTTTGGGTGTCTGTGTGTATGGACCTGCCGGCAACCAATGCCTTGAACTTGCCTTTACCTGAAAATGTCTTTCATTGACTTTCACTTTTGAGGAATATTGTCTCTCAATATAGATTTCTAGGTTGATGGTTTTTTCTTTTTGAAATTTCGTGCCATTTCCTTCTGGTCACTGTGGTTTCTTTCTTTCTTTTTTGTTAAAAAATTTTAAAATATTTATTTATTTTTGAGAGAGAGAGTGTGAGCAGGGGAAGGGCAGAGAGAGAGGGAGACACAGAATCCGAAACAGGCTCCAGGCTCTGAGCTGTCAACACAGAGCCCAACACGAGGCTCGAACACATGAACTGCGTGATCATGACCCGAGCTGAAGTGGGATGCTTAACTGACTGAGCCACCCAGGTGTCCCTGGTCACCGTGGTTTCTAATGAGAAGTTGGCTCTTAATTGTTCTTTCCCTGCACGCTGTTTCTATGCATTTTCCTTTTGCCGTTTTCAAGACTGATTTCTTGTTTTTGGTTTCTAACAGCCCAGCTATGACGCCGTTTTGATTGGGCTTCTTTGTGTTCACTCTGTTTGGTGTTTGCTGAGCACCTTGTGTCTGCAAACGTATCTTTGTCATATCTTTAGACTTAATTTGCCAAATATTTTTTCGATTTGTTTATCCCTCTCCCCTCCTGGTGTTCCAACTGCATACATATTGCGAACCTTGATAGTATCTAACAGTCTCTGATGCTCGGTTCTTTTTTTTAAAAAAAAATTGTTTATTCACTTTTGAGAGAGAGAAAGAGAGAGAACAAGCAGGGAGGGGCAGAGAGAGGGAGACACAGAATCCGAAACAGGCTCCAGGCTCTGAGCTGGCAGTCAGCACAGAGCCCGACGCGGGGCTCGAACCCACGAACCATGAGATCATGACCTGAGCTGAAGTCGGATGCTTAACCGACTGAGCCACCCTGGCGCCCTGAATTTTTACATTTCAGAATCTGTGTTCTTATGTTTAGGATTTTCTACTTTGTTCTTCTTACTGTTTCTACTCTTCTGTGGAGATTTCTCATTTCCCTGCTGAGATTTTCATTCACTGAAAACACACTCATGTTCCTTCCTTGCAAGTAATGGTAAGATACGCTTTTAAGATCTTTGTCCCCTCAGTTCCAAAATCCGTTCCATTTTGGAGTCAGACTCAATTAATTTTCTTTTACGCTGAACGTGTGTTCCTTTTTTGGGTGGGGAGGTTCTTTGTAAGTAAGGTAATTTTGTGCTATATCCTAGACATGACGGTTATCAGTTTCTGGACGTTCTGGATTGTGTTAATATTCTCTAATAAGTGTGGCTTCCTATGCAACGCCAGGTAATTTTCTTTGCTGGGTGCGGACCGCCAATTTTGGGCAGCGGCTTTCCACTCAGTTCCGGTATGTTACCTGCGGCCGAAAGTGCTCTGATGTCCTTCCCCGCGTGTGTGGCTGACGGGCCAGGGACAGCCCTGCGCTGCTGGTTCGGTGTTACTCCTCTCTGTTCTACCTCGTCTCGCTACCCCTCTTCTCGTTTTTCAGTTTGACACTTAGCTTATTAATTTCAGCCTTTCTACTCTTCTTATATACAATCACAACGGGTGCCGTAAATCTCCTTAATTATGTCTTTATCTGAATCCACTACTTTTAATGGGTAGTTTTCTCATCAGTGCTCTGTTCACGCATTTTTAGTCTCTGTCACGCTTTCTTCTTCAACCTAGGAGTTACTTCGAATTTCTAATTTGCAAATGTATGCAAAACAGTCTCCTTCATCTTTTTATTACTGACTTGTAATGTGCTACATGTGTTAGAAAAACTTGTACTATCAGTTCTTTGAAATTTGTGGAGTCTGGTTTATAGCCTGATGCGTGCTTCATTTTTGTGGAAGATTTCTTGAGAGAATGGACATTCCCTAATTGTAAGATGCAGGGTGCGCTATACGGTCTTTGATTTAACCACGCTGGTTGTACCATTCACTAAATTGCCTCATTCTTAGCTCATTTTTCGCATGCTTCACTTTTTCTTAAAAAAACACTATATTGAAATATTCTAGTATGATGATGGACTAATTAACTTTCTCCTGTTCATCCTCTAGATTTTGTTTTATACATCTTGTAACTATTTTCTTGGATGAGTCCAAGCTTCGAATTTTCTTATCTTCTTGGTGATTTGCAAGGTCTATTTTTAACTGTATTTTCTGTCCCTCATAATGCTTTTAAAGATCATTTCTGTTTTGCAGAACAGGCGTTAAGAATAGTATGTACCTTATATCGCGTGTGTGAAGATTCGTGGAGATCATGTATGTAAGACTGGAGATGAACCCGAAATGGCACCTGGTCCAGGGCAGGCTCTCGGGGCTGTGTCAGCTGCTACTCTCGTCTCCGTAGAAGGTTTGGAATCGTCTCTGCCTCCTTTTTGTCTCTCGTCAACATTCCATCCCTCGCCTGAGCTTCCCCCTTTGAGGGCCTCTTGAATCATCTCATTCTCTTGGCTCGCAGTGCTCCGCCCCGGGTCTGCCCACCGCCACCTTCACCGTGGACGCCTCCATGCTTGGTGCACACCGCGACAGCTTCTGTTTCTTTTTTTTCCTGGGTCCTTTGGCAGAGACTGCTTTGGCCAACTCCTTACCCTGACATTCAAGGTCCTTCACATTCGGGCCTGGGTTTCTCTTCCCATTTTAATTTGCCGTCACCCCCCATCAAGTGTCCCGACCCAGGTTGTGCCTTCGGTGCCTCCGTGATGCCTAAGGCCATGGCCCAGCCTGCAGTGGCCCCTCCCGCTCCCGCCAGGGGAGATCGGTGTGGTCTTACCACCAAGGCCTCTCC